AACATAGGCTCAGAGTAAAAGGTTGGAAAATGGCCCTAAAAGGGAATGGGACCCAAGGGAAGTTAGGGACAGCCATACTTTTATCAGGTAAAATAGATTTCTTGCTTAAAAAAGTAACAATAGACAGGAGTGGACATTATGTAATCTTTAACAGAATAATACAACAGAAGACATCATACTCATTACTATATACTCACCAAATGAAGGAACATCAAAATGTGATTACTATTGAATCTGAAAACAGACATTGGGAAAAACACATTCATGACTCAGGACTTCAACACCCCCTTTTCACCAATGGACAGAAAATATATATAAACACAATAATTTTAAACAAAGAATTAGATCACATGGGCTTAACCAACATACATACGGCATTACACTCTGAGAATGCTGAACACACATTGTTCTCAAATGCACATGCATATTCTCCAGAATTGAGCAGATATTGGCACACAAGAATCAACAAATTCATGAAGAATGAAATCATTCCAAGCATCTTTTCTGACCACAAAGTCATCAAAGTAGAAATCAACCACAAAAAGAAAGCAGTAAAACTCTCCAATCTGTGGGAAACAACACACAATGCAAGACTACTAGGTTAATGAATAAATCAATGAAGAAATTTAAAAATAACTCAAGACAAATGATAATGAGGGCACAAACTTCCAGAATTTATGGAACATAGAAAAAGCCATATTAAGAGGGAAAAATACATCAATATGAGCCCACATCAAAAAACAAGTAAGAACTCAAATAGTCATATCTCTCACTTTAAGGTTTTAGAAAGATAATAAAACAAAACCAAAAGCCAGTAGAAGGAAGGAAATAAAAATCAGAGCAGAAAATAATGAAACAGAAATCAAAAACACAGTCCAAAAGATTAATGAAACCAAAAGCTGGTTCCTGAAACAAATAAACAAAATAGCCAAACCACTAGGTTAACCTCATAAAGAAAAGAAAGTAGAAAAATCAAAAAATCAGAAGTGAAAGAGGAGAAATTACAAAAAACATCTTTGAAATTCAGGGCTTGGGCCTCCCTGGTGGCGCAGTGGGTTAAAGCACAGCACAAAGAAGCCAAAGCCACTTCTGCATGAGTTTGATCCCCGCCTGCCCTGGAGGAGATCCACATGGCGTGACAGACCTCTCCTGACCCGCCCGCTGCTCCCCTCAGCAGTGTACCTCGTTGATCTGCCTGTTCTGCTCCCCACTCTGTCTCTGGTGAATCCTCTCACCCTCCGCATCTCTGGCCTGTACCCCAGTTCAGTACGAATAAATAATAAATAAATCTAAAAAAAATAATAAAATTAAACTAAATTAAATTAAAAAAAAAAAAGAAATTTCAGGGCTTACTATGTACATTTGTATGCTACTAAGTTGAATAACCGAGAAGAAATGGTTAAATTCTTAGAAATATCACAACCATCCAAGACTAAATAAGGAAGAAGTAAAAAATCTGAGAAGACCAAATAACAAGCAAGGAAACTAAAATACTAACCAAAACTCTCCAAAAACAAAAGTCCAGGAACAGTTTCATAAATAATTTCTACCAAACCAAAGATGAACTAGTACGCATCCTTCTCACACTCTTCCCAAGAATTGAGAAAAAAGGAATACTTCCATTTTATGAGGCCACCATTATCCTAGTCCTCAAACCAGACAAAAAAAGGAAACTAAGACCAATTTTCTCAATGAATACACACAAAAACCTTCAATAAGATCTTAGCAAACCAAGTTCAACCATGTATGAAAAGGATTATATGTCTTGATCAAGAGGATCTATTCCAGGTACCTAAGGGTGGTTCAGGATCTGAAAATCAATCAACTTAATTCACCACATCAATAAATGGAAAAGATGAAAATTATATGATCTTAATGCTAGATGCAGAGAAAGCATCTGAAAAGATTCACCATCTATTTATGATGAAAATCCTCCAAAAACTGGGAATAGATGAAGCATACTTCAACATAATAAAAGCCATATATGACAAACCCACAGTTAACATCAGAAAGCTTTTCCTCTAATATCTGATACAATACAAAGATGTCCACTTTCACCAGTATCGGAAGGCCTAGCTAAAGCAATTGGGAAAGAGAAGGATAGAAAGGAATCTAAATTGCAAAATAAATAAAATTATCATTATTTGTAGCTTACATAATAATATATAAGGAAAACCCTAAAGACACCACTAAAATGTAATTGAAGTAATGAATCAGTTCAACCAAGTTACAGTACAAAATCAAAACATAAAATCAGTTTCCTGATTATATGCAGACAGTGAATTACAAGAGTTACAAATCAAGAATACAATTCCATTTACAATTACATCAAAAAGAATTAAATAACAGGCCTCCCTGGTGGTGCAAAGGGTTAAGTGTAAGTAATATGAAGCAATCTGTAACCACTGCAACATAAGTTTGATCCCCAGCCAGGGATCTACCCAAATTGTGCAGCAGACCTCTCCTGTCTTGCCCACTGCTCTCCTCAGCAGTGTATTTCAGTCAATGCACCTGTTCTGTTCCCCACTCTGTCTAAGGTGAATCCTTGCACCCCAACACCTCTGGCCTGTAGCCCATTTCTTGCTTGCATAAACAAAATATTTAAAAAAAAAAAAAGACTTAAATAGCTAAGAGTAAACTAACAAAGGAGATAAAGAAAGCAACAGATACCACACTTATAGGGACAACATATAATCTAAAAGAACATAAACTGGAGAAAGGAAACTTCTTCAATAAACAGTGTTGGAAAAAGTGCAAAAGAATGAACCTATTTCATTTTACAACCAAAAATCAACTTAAAATGAGTAAAAGACTTGGATGAAAGACCTGAAATCATAATATACGTAGGAAAGACATAGACAAAACACTCAATCACATAGGCTTCAAAAATGTCTTTGTTGATTCATCTCCAACAGCAAGGAAAACAAAAGAGAATGTAAACAATTAGGAGTACATCAAACTAAAAAGCTGTCTGCAAAGGAAAAGAAACTTGTCACTAAAATGAAAAGACAGGCCCTCCCTGGTGGCACAGCGGGTTAAAGCACAGCACCAAGAAGCTAAAGCCACTTCCGCATGAGTTCGATTCTCACCGGCCCGGAGGTGACCCAATGGCGTGGCAGACATCTCCTGACCTGCCCGCTGCTCCCCTCTGCAGTGTACTTCATGGATCTGCCTGTTCTGCTCCCCACTCTGTCTCTGGCGAAGCCTCTTGCCGCCCCTGAGCCTCTGGCCTGTACCCCAGTTCTGTATGCACAAATAAATAAATCTTTAAAATAAATAAATAAATAAATAAAATAAAAAATGAAAAGACAACTAATAATAGAAAATATTTGCATGTCATACATTCAATAAAGGACTGATGTATAAAGAATTGATGCAACTCAACCAAAAGAAAACAAAATAGGTTCATCATCACTTATTGTCAGAGAAGTGCAAACGAAAATTATAATGAGCTATTATCTCATGCTGTCAGAAAGGTGCACATCAAAATCACCAGAAATAACAAGTGTTGGTGAGAATGTGGAGAATCAAGGAATTCTCTTACACTGCTGGTGGGAATGTAAATTTGTCCAATCCCTATGAAAAGCAGTACTGGCGGTTTCTTAAAAGATTAAAATTGGATCTACCATATGATCCAATAACTCCACTCCTAAGTATCTACACAAAGAATACAAAAACACTATATTCATTGCAGCACTATTAACCATAGCCAAACTATGGACACTACCCAAGTACCTAAAAAAGATGAGTGGATCAGGAAGATATGGTACATATACACAATTGAATACTATCATCACTGAAAAATATACTATTGCCACTTTCCTCAACATAGATGGAGTTGGAGGGGATGATGTTAAATGAAATGTCAGTAGGTGAAAAACAAATATCAGATGGTGTCACTTATTTGTGGAATATAAAGAAACAAAGTAAAGGGTCACATCAGACAAAACCAATCACAAGCCCTACAAATTGTATGGTAGAACTGAGGTTACCATAGTGGGGAGCAGGAGGCACTGGAAGAGAACAATGTGGGAGGGAGCCAATGGACTATGGAGATGAATGATGGGTGCTTTGGTGATGGGTGTGCTTTAGGAACACTACCTGTAGAGGGAGATCCTATACCTACCTCTAAAACACAAACAGTGTTGTAATTCAGTAATACATATACAGGTACATAAACATAAACATACACGCACAATTTGTTCGCAGCACGTGATTAGGGCAAACAGCCTTTGTTTTCCTGAGCCAGTTTTAATGAGGGCAGTCTTGGGAGGCCATTCCCACGCTGTGTCCTCCCAGCAATTGATGAAGTGCTTTCAGCATTTTACAAGGTATTAAATATGGGGAGTACTAGGACGTATGTCTCAAAGATTCATCATGCTGTGCATTGGTTTTATATGGCTTTCTGTATTTGTGCTCTAAACAATAAGTAGAAGCAAATAGCTCTCCTTTCAAAACTCACACAACTTGCTCACTACTTTACATGGAAATGTGGTACAGGTGCAGGCCACAGGGAAAACCCGAGGGACCGGTACGGGGGTTGTAGGTCAACGGAAGGGCAGCCCTTCCTCTGCCTCAGGCCTCAAAGTAACCCCCCGGCCAGCTCCACAGGGCAAAACAACTGACCATAATAACGGTAACAACAACGACAAAGACAATAACCATCACACTAAGAAAGCTGAGAAAGAGACTTGGGTCCGCCAAATAGTACTAAACACTAAAAATTGCATTGCTAAACACTAAAAATTGCATTCCCGAGAGCCGCCATACCTGGGACTGCGTGGGCGGCGGGCACCGGGCCCTCGCGGAACCCTTGACAGTCCCCTTCCTGCACAGGCCGGTGGAGGGGCGGAGGGCGACGGGAGGGAGAGAATGGAGTCTTGTGGGCGGGGACTGGAGAGGGGGCGGGGCCTGGTGGGAGAAGGGGCGGGGCAGGGAGCCTGCGGCAGAGGGTGGGGACAGAGCGGGGAGGCAGCGGGCGGGCGGCTGGGCGGGGCGCGCTCAGGCCTCAGATCCTCGCGCGCGGCACTCGGGGCCTCAGATCCCGCGCCTCTGGGAACCCTGGCGGCTGGTGCGATCCTGGAGCCGACGCCGTAGCCGGAGGAGGAGCCGCGGTGACTGAGACTGAGGTAGGCGCTGGGACGCCCGGCGTGCGGCCTGGAACCCGTGGCGCCCCCGGCCTGGCCCTAAGGTTGTGGCGAGATCGGGGGGCGGCGCGCGGAGGCCCGGGCCGGCGGGGCGGGGTTGGAGGCGGAGACCGGCCTGGCCGTGCGGCGTTGGCCCAGCTGGCAGAGCCCGGGGCAGTCGGGGTGGGAAGAGGCGCGAGAGCCCCTGCACGCCCGGCTGGGTCCCGGGCTGCGGCTGCCAGAGAGGTGTGGAACCCGCCTACCCCGCGGTGGGGGGGGGGGTCTCAGGAAAGGCGGAGGATGGCCCTGTCCCTCCCACTTCGGGGCCAGTTCGTCCGCACAGCCCTCGGGAACTTGTTAACAGCAAAGCTTGGCAGAGAAACAAATGCCAACGTTTTGGAAGAACTGAGAGTCACGTCGTTAGGCGCTGAGGCTTTATTTTCCAACCCCGCCCCCTGCCCTACCTCGGTCGGACTTGGCCAAAGAAGGATGTGTCACCGGCTGGCGGCCGCGGGCGGGCTCCGCCACGGGGGTAGGGGCGGGAGTACCTGAAACAAAGGTAAACGGCGGGCTGGCCAGCCCCGGCTCTGCCCTGCAGCCGCGCTCGACCCACCCGAGTGGGCTTCGCTGCTGCGCCGACACCGGCCTCCGCCCCTGCGGGGTTTTCTCTCCTGGGGGACCGATCTCTCGATGGAAACCAGCTGGCCGGAGCTGGAGTTGATGTTGCATCTGAACTATTCCCAATTCTCCGAGTCTGTTAGAGCTTAAGGAAATTCTATCCAGTTTTAGTGGCTACTAAAAGTAAGGAAGGGTAAATTGCTGGTTGTAAATTATAAGACATTATCTTAATAGCAGATGATCTGAAAACACGAAATAAAAAAATTTAACGCAGAAGCTAAAAAGAGCGACTTGTGGTCCCTACCAAAATGTGAGGAAACACCAAAATGTGAGGAAACAGTCCTCTTCAAATTAGTTTTGTACAAAACATCCCCCCAATTTTTGTTGCCAGGCACTTTTCTTTGTTCTTTATTAAGTCTCAGACCTCAGTTTCTTGTTAATAGAGCGACCAATGCCTAGACCCTAACATTAAGAATTTCCATACTAGGTCAGATCATGTGCATCTAGCCTTTGTGGTAGGGAAACAAGCTTTACTTTCTTGGTAATACCATTAAAAATTATCTCAGTTTCATCTCTTTCAGTAGTACCTATGACTTTTAATGAAAACCTCTTACAACTCTGAACCATTCCTAATTTATACATACAACGTATTCATATTTGCTGCATCCAAGTGCCTCTCCTGTCCACTCAGGCAGAATAATTTATAGCGTGAGGTACTTGTGGGGAAAACTTGGACCTCTTACATAACCTGGGAGCTTAATTTTGAGGTCAGGGGAAACAGTTTTTTAAAAATCGAAAGCTTTGGAGAAATTTTTACCAGAACCAACTTGGCTGGGAGTTTAAAACTAGTTTTATCCACTAACAGTGTGACCATTAAGCAGTTAAAGATTTGTATTCATAACAATTAGCGTATTTTAAATGCAACTTAGTAGCCTGGAGAGTGAAGATCTGAGTTTATCTTTGCCTGAATTATTTCTATGTTAATTTTTAGCTGAAACTAGCTGCCTTAAGAGAATGAAACTTTTGTTTCAGTAAGAAGAGACTAACAGAGATAAATAATTTTGAACTGTGGGAATACTTGAGGAGGCACCTGTTCAAATTATAACTTTTTACTTTAAAACTCCTCAGAAGCTCTTTATTACCTATGGCAAAGTCTCCATTGATATGCCCCTGCCACCGTTCAGTATGCTTAAGCTAAAGCTTCACTTCCTTTCTAAATATTTTCTTGATCTCCTCACCCTCAGCAAAAACCCTGCATCTGGAGGTACATCCGTGGTACTATTCACATTTTGAACAAGGGTTTGAACATAGTAAGTCTTTGTTGGGGAGAGTTAAACTGCAGTATAGGGTGTTGAGCAAACTCTTGACCTGTCCTCACCCTCCAGTTGTGAGAGTTATTTGACAGTAATACAACCAACACAGGTGTGGCAATCAAAAATACCAAATGTCGCTTGGGAAGGCCAAAATCACCCTTGTTGAGAAACTGTTTTAAGCTTGCTGCCTTCACACCATAACACCACTGATACTGCATTGTCCTCATTTGCTTCTCTGTCGGTTTTTTACTGTCCTAGGTTTGAGGGTAAGAGAGTCATTCGTTTATTTAACTACTATTTGAAAGAGGGCTTGTCAGCTAGATATTAGTTGACGTATTGGGTACAGTATTAAAAGCAAATGATGTGGTCTCTCTACTTCTGGACATTGTAGTCTAAAGAGTGAGAGACATACAATTATATAATTGCCTCATTAGTTGTGATAAATTCTGGGAGAAGTATAGAGTGTTCATAGTACATAAAACAGGGGCCCTGTACTATTTTTCATTAGGTTCCTGTTTCTTTGGGAAATGACCTTCAAGGTGAGGTGGATTCTGAAGAATAGAAGAAGTTACTAGATAAAGCTTTAAGAGATGGAGTCTAGCTGAAGCAACAGGACCTTTTATATATAGGAGCCAGAGGCCAGTGTGGTAGATTATAAAGAGTGATAAGAACAAGGTGATACAAAATGAAGCTGCAGGAATAGGTAAGGGCTTTTATTGCAAGCACTACTTCTCTATACAGCCCAGTTATCAGAATCACAGAAGGAACTTACAACAACACTAGTGGCTGGACCATCTTTTAATGAGTGTTATCTACCTATATAAAAGGGCTTACTCTTTCCCTCAGCTGCCATTTTTTCCACATCTTCCAAAGGGATAGCCACTGTTAGTAGTTTTGTGTATCTTTTTAAACTTTCTGTAGGCAATCAAGCAAATGTATATCTTATTCCCTCCTGTTTTTTACACAAAATGGTATCATACACAATGCTGTATACTTGCTTTGTTCTCTTAATGTCTTGGAGATCTCTCTACTTCGATATATAGGTATCTTTTTAAAATATATATATATATAGTATTCCATCATATAGATACAACACAGATTATTTCACCATTTCTCTGTGCTGTTTAAATAGTTGCCAGGAGTTTACTATAACAAACAGAACTATGTATATGCAAGTTCAACTGTGTGTGAATATATTTGTAGGATAAATATCTAGAAGTGTAATTGTTGGGCTGGATATGCACACACACACGTATTTGGAGATATTGGAGAGAATGGTTTGGAAGTAAAACAGAATGAATGTGAGATACAGCGGACCTTAATTTAAGATACTGAGAGCTATGAGGTAAATTGTATCCCTCCAATATTTATACTTCAAAGTCCAACCAGCAGTGTGACTGTATTTGGAGATAGTCTTTAGGAGATCATAAAGATGGAGCCCAAGAGTTGATGGATTGATGACATTATAAGATGACAACCTGTGTGAGCACACAGTGAGAAAGTAGCCATCTGAAAGCCAGGAGAAGAGTTCTTATCAGAAATCCTGCAGGACCTTGATCTGGGACCCTTTAGCCTCCAAAACTGTAGAAAAATTAAAATTTAAACCACCCAGTCTATGGTATTATAATGAGGTAGGCTGAACCTACTAATGTACTGTGGTACATTAGAGAGATAGTATGGTGGCTGTAGCAAAGGTAGAAGAGGAAATGGAAAGACTTAGGTAGATATAAGAAACTGTTTTGACAAGATTTGGTGACTTATGTCCAACGGGCAAGTCTAGGATGACTCCAGGGGATCTGCCTTGCCCAGCCAGGTGAATGATAAGAGTTGGTACCTAAGATAGAGAACACTGGAATAATAGTTTTGATACAGGCTTAAAACAGTTCATTTTGGGAATGTGGGACCTTTGAGTGGTGATAACTATCATGGGTTGGGTACCCAAATAGTTCTTTCAAATTTCTGGTAGAAATCCAGAAACTGAGGATTGGGGTGAACTGGGAGCACAGATTTTTTTAGATGTACAAAGAAAGATATAGATGACTCTACACAGGGCAGGGATTGCAGACTAGCATTCCACAGCTGAATCTGACTTGCAGATGTGTTTTTATTTCCCCCAACAATTTTGTTATCATTTAATTTTTAGTGAAGTTGCCAATAACTTAAATCTGAAGATTTCCCATGAAAATTCAGATTTGGGCCTCTTCTTTTAAAATGAGATGTAGCCCTTCTGAGCTGACTCCCATATGGCAACAATTGGTTAGAACTAAATCCTAGTTGTTTCCAGCTGCTTTCTAGTTAACTAAAGAGCCCACCACTCCCTAAAACTCATGTCTGGTCTGCTTTAGTTATTTACTTCTCTGATTCTTTATGTGCTTGAATTTATGAACCCTGCTCTAGGAAAATAATATAAAATTATGATTCACATAATTTGAAACGTTGCACATTTGAAACATTGGATGACTGAAAAATACAAATGAATGGTCCACCCCAGAAATTTGTTTTGTTTAGTTGGTCTGAATTGCAGCCTGTGATTTTTTTTTTTTATTTAAGTTCCTCAGGTGATTACACTGAGCAGTAGAACTTGAGAACCACAGACAGAAATTAAGAAGAGAAGAGGGCTCAGGTCCACCATTTCAAATTGGGTAGAGAAGGATTACCCCAAGAAAGGGATGAGAAGTGGCCAGAGAGATACAGTCTATGACACTTTGCATGTCTTGACTTAGTGTCCTTGAGGGTTTTTTAATTAGATAAGCGATAGCAAAGTTTTATTTTGCATGTATGTATACTTTATGGTATTCATTACTACATAGAATTATGTACACACAAAAAGAATTATACTCAATGACCCATTTAAAGAATTTTAGATTAATTTATGGCAATACGTAATTCTTGCTTTAGATATTTGCTTTAAACTCTAATTCCAGTTTAAAATGTGTCATAAAAGGCAAAAGAAAGTATGCTTAAAAAGAGAGAAGTCATCAAGTAAAGATGTATACTGAAAATGATGTGTTGAATTAAGTAACATGGAGTCTTTGACCTGAACAAGAACTCTTTCAGGTTGAAAAGGCTCAA